AAAGAAATTCATACTGGGAAAGTGATGAGAGAGGCCTTGATATAATAGCCTAGCCCTTTTTCTGAGTTTCCTGTGAAGCCATTTGAACAGTTACTGGCAAGATTTTAAACATTAAATGTATTTGTGACTAAAACCTGCCTTTGCAATAGGCAGCCTCACTGCTGCGTCCACACGGGCCTCACTGTAGAATTAGGCTCAAATGACAGCTGCAAGGGAACGGCGCAGTGTGATGGCCTAACCTTTGTTTACTGAAAGGTGGAGCGTGTGGAGATTCGGGGCTTCACACCAGTTCAGGGAAGTAGGATTTGTAAAAAATTGCAATGGGCAGTTTTTTTGTTTTGTTTTTCTGGCATGGGTAGATTTTGAATAAAAACATCCAAGGGACTGCAAGCTGTCCCCGGGGAGGAGGATGTGCGAAGAGGGGAGGGGTCTGATGAGCCAGACTTCAGAAAGTGTTTGTGGAAGGCTTGGAACTGGGGTTGAGAAGCAAAATTAACGAAACGTCAAGATATATGAAATGAAATTTAGTAGATACTTGCAGCTTGTTTCTTAGACATTGTTGGGATTAATGCAGGGCGGGTAGTGCATGGTGGTCCTCCAGCCAACCCCGCGTGCTTTCTGGTTTCGTATGGCCCAGGAGTCAAGACTGAGTTTTACATTTTTAATGGGAAGAAATAAAAAGAAGTATAGTATTTCATGACACATGAAAATGGTATGAAATAGAACGTTCTGTGTCTATCAGTAAAGTTTTATTGGGATACACCTATACCCACTTGTTTCTGTGTTCTCTATGGATGTTTCTGCGCTGCCCTGGTATGTTTCCTTGTGATCTAGGTACTGGCTCTAGCTGCTCTTGTGCTGCAGGGCAGAGTGGAGCGGTTGTGATGAGATTCATGAAGACTGATGTGGTTATTTCTGTCCTCTACAGCAGTGGTCGCCAGCCGGTGGTCCACGAACCTCCGGTGATCCGTGAGGTCCGAAAGTTGGTGACCGCTGCTCCACAGAACAACTTTGCTCTCTACGAACAAGTTTGCTGTCGTAGAGGATTCCGGCAGTACATTAGAGTGAGCAGTGTAGTTTTTCTTAAGACTAGGAATGTTTGCCATTAATAAGTTTGTTTTCTGTGTTCTTGTCTTTGTTCATCAGGAATTGGTGCTTTTTCTAGTCAGTGGTGTCAATTAATTCTGTTCTCAATAGAAGATTGTATAGTCGGTTGTTCTATGCCTGTGTCCACCAAAGATAGAATTTCTTAGGGACTTGAAAAAATAGTTGGCATTGGGTTTTTATATGACCCTTAGTGTTTTTTAAGGTGAGGGTCAGGGTGTGTTATGAACCACTTTTCCTTTGCTTTTGTTTGAACTTAATTTTAATTTAGGCTTTTATGAAAGCTTGACCTCATGTGCCGTTGAGATGGTTTCCTTTGCGTGTTCTTTCCACAGCCTTAGCCTTAGCCTTAGCCTATAGGGGAAGGTCATTCTTCTTTCTGACCCTTCCTGAGATGAATTGTGCTAAACCATCAGTCTTAGGTTTTAAGCCGTCCTTCTGCCAGAGGACTCTTGATATAAAGTGTGCTGGCTCCTGTGCACACTGTTGGAGCAATAGAGCAGGGACACGTGGGACTCGACACTGTTAAGTGTTTCTAAAGTTCCAGCTAACATTAATGCAACCATCTGATCTACGGCATTCATGTAGTGTCCCCATCCCCATCCACCAAGCTGAGTGCTGTAAATGCGATAAGATCACATCCCTGTAGTTGACAAGCATGTCAAACTCAAAGGCTAACACGGGCCAAATAAAGGTTTAATTTTATGTGGACTGCAAAAAAACAAAAGCTTCAATTTTCATAGAAACATAGGTTTATTTCAATAGAGACATGCTGTATACAAAGGGCTGAAATAAATGAGTAATCGTTAACATAAAATAATAGAAAATTTTAATAATTTTTTTTCTTGAACATTAACTTACCAGACAGTGAATAACTGCACAAATTAATAAGCATAATGCAAATAAACCTATTTTTCTTGTTCTCTGAAAGCAAAATATTTCCTATTGTGCACACCAAACAAGTCGATACAACACTAATGTGTGCCAATCAGCTGCTAAAATATGCGCTGCTAGTATTAGTGGAGAGAAATGGTATGCCTGCAAATAAGGCACATAAGGGAAATGAATGCAACATGATTATAGAAATCAGTCATTAGCGAAGGTGGTAGTCTGTTATTAATAACTAGAGGTCCAGTGCACGGGGTCCCTTGGCCTGGCCCTACGCTCTCTCGCAGTCTGGGCTAGTTTTGGCCGATTCCCGCAGTCCAGGCTGAGGGATCCCACCAGTGCATGTGCACTGGACCTCTAGTATGCATATAAGATCTTGGGTTAATCTCTTCCTGCCCTCTACCCGCCCCGCCCCCTTCCTTCTGAAATTCATTAATCTGTTCCATGTTTCCATGTCTGTAGTTTCCGTTCCTGTGTTGAGTGCCCCCTGGTGGTTACTGCACATCATAGCTACTGGCCAGTCGACTGGTCGCTTAGGCTTTTATATATATAGTTTAGGCAGAACAGGGATATTGTAAAAATTGAGTTATGAAATTTTTATTAAAATGTTTTTTACATACTGTTATATTGTCTGGGCCACAAAAATATTTGCTGAGGGCCGCATGTGGCCCACGCTGGCTGTGAGTTTGACATGTTTGCTGTAGGAGGAGGGCAGAGTTGTTAGTTTGCATTGGAGTCTGGTCCAGGTGAAGAAACCTAAGTGATACAGTTCTCCAGAGGTCCATTTCTAGACCTGTCTTACTTAGAATTTATATAAAGATTAGGGGGTGCTACCCCAGTAGCATGGTGTCTGTGACTGAAATTGTCAGAATAAGGAGAAATGGACAAAGAGCTATAATGTACAAGTTTAAAATAATGGATTTGGGGAAAATATTCCAGTCTGAACTTGTAGGATTATGGTTTTCAAGCTATTAGCAGGGAAGAGAATTTAAAAGTTGTTTATTATTTGAAGAGGCCAGATTGATGTACTGTGGCCAAAAGACTAGTTCTGGATTTTAAATTAAAGTTTATTGAAAAAAAGTTTCCACTCTTGTACGTAATGATCTCTATTTTTTTAAATATGTTTTTATTGATTTTAGAGAGAGAGAGAAAAGAGCGGGAAAGAGATAGAAGGCTGCGTCTTGCACACCCCTACTGGGGATCAGTCCACAACCTGAGCATGTGCCTTGACCAGGAATTGAACTGGCGACCTCCTGGTGACCACTGAGCCACACACCTCTCTATTGTTTTTAGTCTGTAGATTTGGACATGGTGCCTCAGTAAAGGATGGTCCAGAAGAGGGATGGCCAAGGATCAGAAAACAAAAAATGGAAGTACTACTTCCATCTGTATCATTATAAAAATTCACATGTGTTAGACATTCATTCACCTAGTTACTTGTTGAGAAACTATGTTGTAGGCCCTGTGTTGGGCTCACAAAATGTCCCCTGTCACTATGCCAGGCAGGAAACTGCAGGTCTGTGCAAAACGTACATCTCACTAGTTTGCTTTTCATATGCTCTGATAGGAAAAACAAAAGGACAAGAAATATGAAACAGACAAAGCCTTGAGATTGCCTATGATCCCCGGTGATGAAATCCTGAGTAGGTGGCAGAGCTGAGTTATTTATCAGCATTTGGGGCAGATAGTCTGGGGGTTGTGAGTGGGTTCTAGAGTCAGACACCTGCGTTTCATTCCTGGGCTACCTGCCTCTCTGCATCTTGGTTGCTTCATCTGTGAATTGGCTGTTTTGAGGGTAATGTATGCAAAGTGCTAAGAACAGTGATTGGACCACAGTAAGGAAGGGCCCACTAAATGCTAGCTATGAAGTGGAAGAACGCTAGGACTTGGAATGACTTAGAGATCTAGACACTGGACACGAAGAGCAGGAGAGCATCTGCAATGCACCCAGTGAGAACGCCTCCAAGGAGCGTGTGAGCATCCATGCGTCAGGAATCCTGGGACAGGATTATGGTGCCGAGATCTATGGAAAGGGGGGGTAAGAGTTGCTTGGATAATAGAGGAGGGTCCGCCAAGTGTGAAGAGCCTTCCAGGAGCCAGGATTAGTTGAAGAGGAGCGTTCAGAGCTGGAAAGGAAAGCTCAGAAAAGAGGGTGTTAGAGAAGTGTTAAATGACATAACTTGTCCCTCAGGAGATAGTTGATGGCTGGAGACATTTTTGATTCTCATGATTGGGAGGGAGATGTGTGCTACTGGCATCTAGTTGTCAGAGGTCCAGGTCACTGCGAAACATGCGACAGTGCACAGGACAGTCCCCACAACAAACCCTAAATGTCAGCAGTGCAGAGTTTCAGAAACAGTGGCCTAGCACCAGGGGTAATAAAGGCCCCTGGGTAATAGAAGCCTGCATTTATAATGTCATCTTCACCCACAGCCTGGTGAGCACGTGTGCACGCTTAGCTCAAGTCTAGCTCCAGCATCTCCTCTCATTGTGTAATCCGGAACTTCAGATGGCACTTGCCTGCTGCACACTTTGGGTCCCCTCCCATCCCAGAGGCAGCAAGGAGAAATGGACATTTGCTTGGGTGAGAGGGTGCAATAAAACTTCTTTCCTATGTATATTCCTCTCTTACAGGCACTCTTTTGCACACTAGCAAGGTGATTGATTAAGGAAGATTTAGTTCATGACTAGAATAAAGAAAAGTCCAAGCTTGAAGACATAGAGATCCTTGGCATTTCATCTGTAGGACAGTTTTTGAAGTCACTGTGGTTTGGGTTGGGGGGAGAGGTGACAGTCTATGCGTGAAATGGAGGGTGGCCTGGTGTGTGGGACCATTCTGGAGTGAGGCAGTGTGTGTAGGGGGGGAGGGGGGAAGGGTCAGGGAGAAGATAAGGACCTTTCCCTTTTATCCCAGACCTGCAAACCCGGCTATTTGTACAACTGTTCCATAGGCACATTGAATACAACACATCCAGACTTATCTTTGTCCCTTCACCTCACATTTTCCCTTCTTGTATTTTCCTCTATATCCCCACAACTTACTCAGTGGCTCAGGCTGAAGTTTGCGTTCATTCTAGTAATCTACTTCATTTAGTGATAGATAAATAAACAAAAGCAGTCCTGGGTCAGAAGTGCTCCAGTGGGGCCGAGGCAGACGTGTGACCCTCCTGAAGGAATGTACCAGCAGCCCAGGCTCCTCGGGTTAGTTTTCCAAATATGAGTTGAACCCCAAACTATAGAACCCAGGAGGGAACCAGCCAACATCAGACTTGCAGTGACACAACCAACAATGGTAGTAGACCCTCCCCCCCTCCAAGGACTTCAGAGGATTGGAATTAATCAGGCTTCGTATTAAAATTACAAAGACTTTAATAATAAAAGAGGGTATTGCAAACATGGGCAAAGAGCAAAGCATAACAATGAGCAGGCAGATTTGGCAAAGAAGCATTCTCTAGAAAGGAAGGAAATAGTCACTGAAATACAGAAATTCAGTGAACAAGTGAAGTAGTAGGTTGGACCCTTTTTGAAGAGTGAATTGATGACAGGACTCAGGAAATTAACCGGATGCAGCAGCAGTGGTATTAAAGATAAAATGTGGAAGAGAAGTTAGGAGATATCAAGGATAGAATGAGAAGTTTAAAATTAATCTAATTGCACTTCCAGTGAGAATAGAATACTTGGCTATTATCAATTCAAATACATACTGGCTGAGAATTTTCTAGAATTGACAAAAGGCCTAAGGTCTCAACTTCAGGAAACACAATGAAACCTCAAGCTGGATAGATAAAAATTCTACCCCTAGATGTATTATATGACACTTCAGAAAATAAAATATGAAAAATGTCTTAATAAGGAAACGGAAGGAATAGACAATTGCTCATAACAAGGCCCCATTTTCCTGTACTCGGTAACAATGAAAGCCTACAACAGCAAGCTTATTAAATGCTGAGAAATAATAATGATCAGCTTGAACATGTTTTCTCAGCTGAACTTCTATTCAAGAATGAAGATGAAGTGGCATTTTCCCCCCCCCACAAATAAACTGAATTGGCTCCCATCATACTTAAGCTAAAGAAAATTTTAGAGGCTGTCCTTATGAAAGAAGGATCTTGAACTTGGGAGGAAAGACTGAGGATGCAAGAGAGAATGGTGAGCAAAGGGATTGGTAACGTGGGTAAATTTAAGTTAAATTCTACACTCCTGTTTCAACACCTTGGCACATAGTAAATACTTGACTAATATATAGATAATTCATCAGTTTCCTGAAATAGTGTGTTTTCTGGTTCAACCATGGCAGATAGAGGAATTGACTTCCTACTCAGGATTTTTCAAAGAGAAGCTGAAATCTCAGTAGGACTCCCAGCAGGATTCATTTTACTTTGCAGAGTTCAGAGGCACAGTTAGTCCCTGGGATGTGATTTGGAATGGCTGAGTTTCTTAAAAGATTTGTGTCTACTTACAGGCTGCTGAGCAAGTTTTAACTTAGGTATTAACTAAGTTTAGCGCCATTTACCAAGATCTTAAGTGTCAGTCTGGATTTATAGTGGGAATCTGGAATTTCTGCTCATAACGTTCTCAGATTTCACATCAATTAACTAGAACACAGTTCTAAATTTATCATCTCTGAGAACCCATGCTAATCTAGGAGAAACATAAAGAGAATGAATAAAATAGAGATTAGTATTAATTAAATGGCCAAGAACACCACAAATCAGAAGCCACTCTTTCTCTCTTATGACCCTGTCTTTATAAAAGAAGTATTTGCTAGTCAAAAACATATTTTAACTGCTGAAATTTAGATATGCTATCAGGAGTATGGTAGGGTTTTATTATGGTGGCTGCCTTTATTCAAAATCAATAAATGTACTCTTTTTCAGTACATATTTCTCTTTTGGAAATAGTTTCTTTCAAGAAGTCTTGTTGTAGGTTTCTTTCAAGAAGTTTTATTGTAGACTTAACACCGATGTCCCTGATCTAATACTTATTGACTTTCTAGCCATCATTCATTCATTTAACACATAGTTTTGAGTACTTGTCAGGTTCTACAAAGCACTAAGTTTGCCCTAATGAAAAGGACTGATAGGTGCTGTGCAGGGGGCTTGCCTTCTAGTGGGGCAAGTAAACACGTTTTAAAATGAGAAGAACTGAGGGAATCAAGTAGGGTGACATGATCATAACTAGAGAAGGGAGATGCTTTTTAGACCAATAGTAGGGGAAGGTCTTGCTGAGGGGATGACATTCAGACAGAGACTTGAATGGCCAGAAGAAGCCACCTGGGCAGAAGCGTCTTGGGTTGAAGGAACAGAAACTGCCAGGCCCATAGGAGCCTGGGGGTGTTCACATGGTGTGATCGGTGCCGAGAGGATATTAACACGGTGGTGTCGAGGGTGTATTAACGCCGTGGCTTAGCTGGCCCGACATCTTGTGGAATCATTTAGGTTTTATGATGGGCTAGAAAATTATAAGAACTAAATAGATGTGCAGAAAGAATAGAACTGAGACTGAAATCTGTAACTTAACACCATCATGTACAAATCAAAAGACCACATTTTGGAAATTGCAACTTAGCCAGGATGTGCACTTATAATAGGAGTTTTGCAAAGATGCCAAACACAATGTGGCAGCCACACTTTTTAGCAGAAAACAAATTCTTAGTGTAGTCTGAAAACTCTAATTTTATTTTACACATCAAATTAGTAACTCTTAGTAATTTGCATATTGGTTATTGGTGGGTTGCTGTCAGCTTCAGGTAGTAGAAACTGAGACTGGTTGAAACACAAGGCAGTCAGTGTGGCTCCCATGATTGAGAGAGCAGAGTGTCAGGGACAGTAGGACTGAGCTCCATATGTTGCTTTGCCCTCAGATTCTTTTCCTCAAGGTTGCAAAACAGCTGCCAGCAGCCAGGGAAATATGCTTCCTGTTCATGTCCAGAGAAAGGAGAGTAACCACGCACCGTTCTTCATGCAGCATGAGAACAACTGCCCAGAAAGGCCCAGGAGCTCTGTCCTTGGGTTTAGTACAGAATTGAATAAATGCTGGATCCAGAACATTGAGGTTTTCCCCTGAGCTGCGGTCATTGGCTAAATGCCATTGCCCTTCTCCAAGCGGGGAGAGTGGGAACAGCAGCCAGCATGCACTGTGAGTTTGTAATGCAGAGAGCATGAGGGTCAACAGAATTAGCATTTTGGATCAGTCTGGCCCAGGAGTGGCACAAAGACAGGGCTCTGAACTTGGTGTCACAGTGAAAAGTGGACTGCGGATGGTCCCGAAGGGCCATCGACATTTAACGAACAGAGAAAGAGGAGCCTGTGAGTCAGAATTTCTGACTCCAGTTTATCCTGCGTCTGCTCTGATGTAGAATGAGATAGGAGTGATGACCGTGGGATTTGTTTCTCATGTATTTCTTTTTCCAGAAGAATAACCACTGGAAATATATTAAGCTTAGAAATTGAGATTTGAATTTACTCTAAGCAAAAATGTCTCTGAACATTTAAGTAAAGATGTCTCTAAAATTCACACATCTATAATAATAAAAGCGTAATATGCAAATCGACCAAACAACTAAAGAGCTGGATGACCTTTCGGACGACCATGCAGTGACACACACTGGTGCCAGGGCAGCCAAGGTGGGTGTGATGTGGTAGTCAGGAGGATGCAGGCCCAGGCCACCCTCTGCTGGGTGATGGATGGAGGGGCTCCGCGATCACCCTGCAGCAGGATGCCCAGGCTACTTGGCTGGCAGCTCTGCAGCAGGTGGGTGAGACCTGTCTTTGCAGGGCGATTGATCTGGGAGCCCCTTAATTGATCGTCCCACAGAAGGAGGCCCAGGCCACTGGCTAGCCAGTGACTCTGTGTGCAGGCTGGTCAGTGATCACCTGCAGAGGGAGGCCCAGGCCAGCCAAGTGATTGCACCCCTGCCTGCTGCTCACAGAGAGAGATGACTGGTGGTGGGGGAGGGGGAGCAGTGCTGCACAGATGGCAAGCTGTAGCAGAGGCAGGGGAAGGGCTAGCTGCCAGAAGCCAGGGGAAGAAAAGCCCCGAAAGGCCCTGATCGCCCGCCAGGCCTAGGGACCCTACCCAAGGAGTCCTGGGTTGCAAGAGGGTTTAGGCCGGCCTCTGGTGTTTTAAGAAAAGAAAATGACAAGCAGAATAGAAGTCAAGTGTGTGTTCTTTTCTGCCTTGTATATAAGGTCAGTAATCTGATCTTTGAGTAAAGTTTTATCATGTATTTTGTCATAAAACAGATTATGAAATAATCCTGGGAATAAGTAAACAAACACTTTCTTTGAATTTGATGGATTTTTTTTTTTTAAATCATGACTGGTCTTTGATTAATTTACAATATAGTTTTAAAAGTACATTTTGCAAGTGTAATACTGAAGGTATTTAGTAATTCCTTTTTAATTTTGAGCTGCAGAAAACTCAGTGACCTTGAATTCATGAATTGTAATAGCATCCTATTTAATAAAAGAGTAATATGCAAATTGACCATCACTCCAACACACAAGATTGCTGCCCCATGTGGTCAAAGATGGCCACCCCTATGTGGACAAAAGATGGCTAGCAGGGGAGGGCAGTTGGGAGGGACCAGGCCTGCAAGGAAGGGAATTTAGGGGTGACTGGGCTGGCAGAGGAGGGCAGTTGGGGGGGACCAGGCCTGCAGGGGAGAGCAATTGGGGGGAACCAGGCCTGCAGAGGAGGGCAGTTGGGAGAAATCAGGCCAGCAGGGGAGAGCAGTTAGGGGCCACCAGACGGGCAGGGTAGGGCAATTGGGGGCAACCAGGCTGTCAGGGAGGGCATTTAGGAGTGACCAGGCCAGCAGGGGAGGACAGTTAGGGGCAATCAGGCCAGCAGGGTAGCAGTTAGGCATAAATCAGGCTGGTAGGCAGAAGCGGTTAGGGGCAATCAGGCAGGTGAGCAGTTAGGAAACAGCAGTCTTGGATTGTGAGAGGGATGTCTGACTGCCCATTTAGTGGGATTGTGCCTAAACGGACAGTCAGACATCCCTTGAGGGGTCCCAGATTGGAGAGTGCGCAGGCTGGGCTGAGGGACACACACCCTCCCCCACCCCTGTGCATGAATTTCGTGCACCAGGTCCCTAGTCTATGTCCTATCTAATAAAAGAGTAATATGCTAATTGACTGTACCTTTGCTACACCCACAGCCAATCAAGGGCACTATGCAAATTAACCCAGCAAAGATGGTAGCCCTCATGTGCTGTCCCAACCCCTCAATCGCTGAGGGACCCAGGCACTGCCGCCACTTCAATCGCTGAGGACCTGGGCGGCGCCCCGATCGCACATGGCGACATGGGGCTGGGCAGTGCCCACCACATGCCACTGCCGCCGGGTTCCAAGCCCCGAACCTGAAAGAAGGTGGAAGGCGATGGCCAGAGCCAAGGCCGGGGTCCCCAGTATCGGAGGAAAACTGGTGCCAGCAGCCAGGTAAAGGAAGGTCTATTGCACAAATCTTCGTGCAACGGGCCTCTAGTATCCCATATAATAAAAGGCTAATATGCAGAGCAGCCAAATGGTGGAATGACCTATTGCTATGACACACATTGACCACCAGGGGACAGACACTCAATGCAGAAGCTGCCCCCTGGTGGTCAGTGCACTCCCTCAGGCAAGTACAGTGGCTATGGCAGAAGCCTTTCCTGCCTCCTTGGCAGTGCTAAGGATGCCTAAGCCATCAGTCGAGTATCTGAGGGCTCCCAAACTGCAAGAGGGCGCAGACCGGGCTGAGGGACCCTCGCAAGTGCAAGAATTTCATGCACCAAGCCTCTAGTATATGTATATATAACCCTAACATGCAAGTAGACTGAACAAGGAAACAACTGGTCGCTATGATGTGTGTGGACCACCAGGGGGCACTCAACACAGGAACGGGAACCACAGACATTGAAACAGGTGAGTGTGGGTGAGGGCGCCATTTGCTGTTATTGGGGCAAGCCTCTGGGGTTACTAAAAATTTTTTGTTCTTGCAGGCCGTGGTTCTGCCCAGCATTCACATCTGTTGCTGGCCCCACTTGCACCCACTGCTGGTGCTGGAGCAGTTGATTGCACCCATTGCTGGTGCCAGCCCTGCTCACACCTGCAGCTTGGTGCCATCAGTGGGTGTGAGTGGCGGCTATCAGCCCTGATTGCCCC